TGCCTGCAGCCTGTAGGTACCTACTGTAGGTACTGTACTGTACTATACTGTACTGTACCTAGAACGGCAGGCGAATGATATCGGGTTCAAGACCTCTACGGCACAGGCTTAGGCAGTCACGAACTAACTCGCACTACGTGTTTACAGGGGCTTTCGCCTCCACGGCTCTACTTGGTTTTAGGCTGTCGCAGCGCCAAAAGGACTCCAGTTGGCAGTGGAGGGAGGTGTTTCAGCAGCGGACAGCGTTTAAAAGAGCCTACGTGTCAGGCTGTACTTTTTTGTAAGTGACGGGATGATTTGGAATTCTCTCAAGGTCATTTTCATTGTATTTTCTCGTTATTTGTCTGCCTATCTCGTCTCATCTTACCTACTCAAACTTGAAACAGACAAGCGAGTGCCCTCCATATCAACAGAGAATACAAATACATCCTCAGCGCATAAACTGTGTTATTATGCATCCATCCGTAGATGGTTTCAATTATATATCCTGATATCCTCATACAGTACAATATGCATCCCGAGTAACACAGACGGGCTACCTCAGCATCTGTGACTGTGTCTAACACTCAAACATTGTCTGCCCCTGAAAAATAAAAGATTGTGGCGTCTATCTTTTGATACTCAAAGTTGGCTTTTCTGCAGACTCGGGTTACAACGGCTTCGTCCCCCCTCCAAAATCTAGGGGCCTTTTACACTTTGCCCCTGGTTCACGACGTCATCTTTGAGAGACATCATCACGAGACACACTTTATCAAGAGGTCAGCCACGCTCGTTACGTCCAGCTTTGCCACAAGAGCACAACTTGGACAACAAGACAAGAGAGAAATCAAGTTGGAGGGTCGAGCTCAATAATCAGGTTCATGCGACATAGAAGGTTGAGGCTCGTTGTGTTTCACGATACTCCTCGGCTTACGCTCTCACTGTATCAATCACCAACTTAATCAATAAAGTGCATCATAAGAGTAATTCTATTGATTCTCGTAGATGATACCAAAAAGACCTCGTCGAACATGGTCAACCGAGTCCAGTGAACTTTCAACTGTTCAAATCATCCATCCATCCAAAAAGTACATAAAAAGAAGTGAAGAATCTCAAACCACAATCCCCATAACTTTGTTGTTTTACTTCTTGCAAATGCCAAATGCATTCTGGCAACCACACTCACACTGCTTGGCCTTGCGACCACATCTGCCTCCACGAGAGCAACAGTCTCCAAACTTGCTGCCCTCGCATGTCTGTTCAGTCTCACCGCCGCAACGGCCATCCTCGGAAACCTTAAGTCCAGAGCTTCCCTCTTGGGTAGGCTCGCTTGTCTGAACTGGCATGGGATACTTGATAACAGGAGTGTCCTTGTACTTGGTGTTCTTCTCATACTTGTCCCACTTGCGGGTCGCTGTCTCTTGGGTAGCCTCAGTATTCTCAGCCGGCTTCGAGGCCTCAGTCGTAGCGGCGGCAGCCTGAGATGTCTTTGATGGAGCAATGTACGTCTCCTTGCTCGCAGGCTTGTCGTTGGAGTTGGAGTTCTTACCATCGGTGGCTAGATCGCTGCCCTCAAAATCACCATAGGGGGCAGGAATAGGACCAGGGGCCTCAGCAAAGTACTCCTTGCCAGTGAAGTTGGGAGGGCCTTCAAAATCCTTCGCTTTGCAGGCAGCGTTGATCTCCTTGCAGTAGTCATTCCAGGTATCACAGCCCTTACCACCAGTAGGAGGAGCGTTGTCCCAGCAGTCGCCAACAATATCCCAGCACTTCTTGGCCGCAGCCCAGCAGTTGTCTTGTCCAGAGTACTTCGCAATAGGCTTGCCGCACCAGTTGGCGTTCTTGGCAAGGCAGTCCTTGGGGACAAGACCATTCTTCTGGGTCTGCTTGGTGCCAGTCTCCTTGGAGGTAGGGTTCCAAACCTCAGGACCGGGAATAGGATATTCACCTTTGTCGCTGTAGATGTTGTAGGTGACACCGGGATCCTTCTTGTCAACATAACCGGGAATGCTGACCTCGTACTTCTCCGGGATCTCAAGAGGACCCTCGGGACCGTTCTCGATGAAGATCTGGGCACAGCTGTGGTAGAACTGAGGGTCGCCTGAGGGAGCGTTGTGGAGGGCAAGGACCTCAGGACGGACGAGGTAGTAGCCAGCAGGTAGACCAGTAGGAAGATCAACAGAAAGAAGACCACCATTGGATCGGAGAGTGTCAGTACACCACTTGTCCTCCTTGACGTTGTAACCATCTTCCCAGACCTTGAACCAACCGTCACCAGCAGCAGAGTCCGAGTTCATGTCGTCAACCTTCTTCATGTAGACGGAGCAGGGGCCCTTGTGGCCTTCGGCAATGGCACCGGGCTTGGAGTAGCTGGGGGATTCACGGAATTGGAAGGTCAGTTGAGCACCGCCGGGAGCCGGGCAGGTGAACTTGACTGGCTTGTCACCATTTTCACCTGATCTCCTCGTTAGTCACTGTCTCTGAGTCAAAGTTACTCACAAGATCTACTTACCACAGGCCATGACACCTCCAGTGATGGGGTAGATAGGGCTGTTTGCCTTGGAGGCATCCTTAGGCTGACGAACACAGGTACCATCGCCCTGGTTCTCGCCATCGATGAAAAGAGTAGTGAAGAGGGTGTGGGCGTTCGCAGCAGTAGCGAGGCCGAGAACAGTAGCAAGAAGCTTCATGATGGATAGTTCAGAACAAAATCGTTTCGATAAACACAAAGAAGGGGAGCAGAAAACCAGTTCTGCTATAAAACCGCTAGGGTTGAAGTCGTTGATTGATGTCGTGAAAAGGGAGTGTATATGCTTGAAGAAGCAGTAAGGAGTGTCTTTCAATCAATGAAGGAATGAATAAGTGAAGAGAAGAGAAAGAGTCGCAGTACAACTCGAGAAACACCGTGATGAGGAAGAATGAAGGTGAAGAGAGGAGAGAGGGAGCATCACGAACTTGTGGCCATGCCTCATATATACTGCAACTCCTCAGCTCACGATCAGGGATGGACATGGCAGGCACCTCAACCTCAGCTCGGGTCAGCCTGCAGATCAGATCCTCCAGACCTGGTTCTATACAAGGATTATGGTGATGGCCAAGCTCGACGAGTTACACCAAAACTGCCCGACTTTCCAGTTATTCGGTGCGTAGGCGACAAGCAGCGCCAGTATCTCAAACGGTGGCGTTCCACCTAGCCTGACCCTTTCCATTTCCCCCAGCGGGATAGCTATGTTAGCTGGGGACGGATAATGCTGGATACCCATGTTTAGGCTCTCTGCATGTTTCCAGGTGTAATCAAACGGGCCACCAAACACAGAGGTCAAGGCCACGGTCGTGATCCCTGTGGCGCATCATTTGGGAGTCAATCACCGAGTGCCAAGATATCCAAGGTGAAACGTAGTGAGAGAGGCCTGAGTCTAGGTCTGCGGGTGCTTTGATGAGTGTTAAGTAAGATTGAATGGTAGAAGTTGGACAGGATTGGGTGGAGGTTTAAGCTAAGTTTCGGTACCTGCGTCTAGGAAGCGCCCAGATAAACGGGCGTTTCCGTTGTGGATGTAACCTCCATACTCTACCAATGACTGCAGTTCAGAAGGATCTACTTTCTACAGTCTTGACTAGTTATTACTATATTTTATTCTTTATCTAATTGTTATGCTCATGGTTCCCGTTAACCTTAAAGCATAAACATTCTGCTAGTCCTTCATTATACTCAACGGCGTCGTTTCAAACCTAACTCTTGCGGGAAACAAAAAGCAATTAACAAGTTGGCTCAGGGAAACAAATACAGAGGTTATCCATGATCATCCAAAGTCAAGACAGTGACTGACTGCAGTGACAGTCTATTAATCATGGTGCGACTCTTGAATCCAACCCCTCTCATCCTTTCGATCCCTCATTCAAGATTGCCTATCATTCATGGACGTGCTCATTCAATTCTAGGTTCTCATCCATCGTGGATTCACAATCCTCAGGGGTGAGCTTCAGCCGCAAATCGCTTGGGGAACCTAGTGAGTTAATCGGCGTAGTTTAAATCATGAGATCACTATTCGATGCCAATAAGAACTGTATCGATAGTATACAATAAAATTCACTGCACAGCCTTCTTCTACCAGATTTATAACACAAATCAACTCCTTAACTCTCAGCAGTTCTGAGGCTGCACGATTCAAGTCTGGGGGACAAGCAAGGATCATGTCGATCCTCTCCTCCACATGTTTAATACCAGGGGTTTCATAACCTCCCTCATCTCATCTCATCACCCCTTCACTACAGTCAGTACCTTGTTCAGTTCGAAACTCGGAAAATACAATCAACAAACTTGGGAAAATGAGGAATCTGTTCCGCTGTCATCCCATCATATGTTGATCACTTATGAAGCTTGTTCTATACCCCTGCTATTCACGCATTCCGACTTGGCATCACCAAACTGCATGCTCACTAACATTGAATATAACCAAGCCGCATGTTTTCTCTCTTCTCAAGTAACAACTCAGCTTCATCATCGGCCGTCTGCAGCCAAGTGTGTTTCAACAGAAAACAAAACAAAACATCGGCCCAGATACAGGTCGTACAAGAATACCCTCCACCAGGCTTCGGCCTCGCTCTTCGGCGCTTCAGTAGCCCAAATACCGGCCCATCAACCAGATCGATTCCGAACCAATTGATCCTCTGCCGTCCTATATATGCGACATCTAGCTGCTTCACCTGCCGAAGCCTCCACGACAACATCATCACATAGAGAAAACAGGTAATGAATCATAAATCATACAATTGAAAGGGTAAGAGTGGAGATTTGATTCTGTCCTGCGCGACCAACACTTTTGAACTCCTCATACACACTTATACAAACACACTTCTTGAATCCTTGCATAATTGGTCTGTCGTTTTTGCGCCTACATTAACAATCATCTCCTCCCTCTTCCCCCTCCAAAGCGACCTCAGCAGAGTTCCATCTCTTGCGTCCGCCGCTCTCGATATGGTACAGTATGATACAAGCAGGCTACTTTTGATATATGGGTATCTTATTCGTTGATCTTGGCCAGGATCCTAGTCATACGAGTCAGTATACTTGCTTCCATAATGCAGCATCTGGTGGTATGTGGTCACTTACTCGCTGTCGCGGAAGAGCTGGAACTCCTCCTCGCCGGCCTTGACGGGAGAACCGCCGAATTGAGGGATCAGAACTCGGTCACCAACGGCAACGCCCATGGGTAGTCGGTTACCCTTCTTGTCCATGGCACCGGGGCCCACGGCGAGAACCTTGGCCTCGTTGAGCTTCTCAACGCTGGACTCGGGCAGGAAGATGCCGCTGGCGGTCTTGGTCTCGGCCTTAACGCGCTGGACGAGAACACGGTCAAGGAGGGGAGCGAGAGCTCGGATGGACTTGATGGAGGTGGCCTGCAGCGTTTGGTGTTAGTCCTAACTGCTCTTTCCTGTTTCCTATAGTGCTCATGTGCCTGAATGCTTCCATCTCTCCCATCCAAGTCTCCTCATGGCTCCCAATTGCCGAGGATAACAAGCTAGATAGTTAAGACTAAAGCATTGGCGGGGCTGCTTCTGCAATTCACTACAGTAGCAATCGCGAACGTACCATTGTGATTAAGTAAAAGAGGTAGGTGGTTGGGTATATGGTCAGAGAGTCGTAGATTCGTAATTGGAGAAGTAAACAAGAAGAAGAGTTCGGCTTCGGTGTTCAACGGAGTTCAAATCGGCGGTGGATCTCGTCTCTTCCAACAGCTTCCAGAAGAAGGTCAGCAATTTTTTCCCCCAAGCTTTCCCGTCGGCTCTTGATTTCCCCGGTTCCGAGAATCGGCACTACACGTCCGATTGCCGTCCGAAAGCGGTATATCATGCCGAACGACTTACACCACAAAGCTCCTCGTTATCATTAATGTGATCGATATTTACTCAGTATTATTATTTTTTATAATTCAACGCTGTCTTTCTGTCTTAATCGCTGAAAAGCTTTGACAGCCCCTTATCCATATTCTGGAACTGCTACTAATCAAACGCTGTTACCAAGGAATTCTCGACAATTGCTGATCCTCCATCTATCTGTTCGTCATTCATCAATGCAGCTCATAAGCGAATCCATTTCAAAACAGCCCCCAATTTATGTCTTCATTGCTCTCAAAACGCCAAATGCCGGCCTTCCTTCAGAAATAGTCAATTTGTCCTGTCTTGCGGTCGTAGCCAAAGTCTGATGATCACTTCTTCTCGGGTTGTTGCGAGTTGGCTGGAGGTTCCAAGATATGAGTGTGGTTGTCAGCTGGGATAACCTCACCGTGGTCAAGTTGCTGGCAAATGACTGTATCTGCAACCCATGGCTCCTGAAGAATCTCATCCATCCTGGCACGAGTCTTGGGGTTAAGATCAAGCATTCTGCTAATGATGTGTCTGCTTTCCCTAGGCAGCAGGCGCAGAATACGCCATGGGCCACGGATGACTTCCTTCTTCTCACCACTCGGCTGTGTCTTAGAGTCCTTTGAGTCGGTGGCCGAGCTGGCTTCTTTTGAGGTTGCCTCTTCTTTTTGCTCATGATGAGTATGTTTCTTGGTCTCATCCTCAGCCAAAAAGTCTCGTGCTGGCGTGGTGGTCAAATCATTCGTTGACTTTGAGGGCACAATGAGCTTCCTGGGGTCGTGTCCTGGAGTTGGGTCCGCCGCGAACAACTTGAAGGAGTTATCTGTCATTCGTGGGACCTTCCACGGGAAACGTCGAAGAGTCATGCAGCAAAAAATGATGGCCAAAGACCAGATATCCACAGCTACTGCGTCGTACTCCTTGGAGTCGTAAACCTCGGGTGCGAGATAAGGGTCAGAGCCCACAATGCCTGGGACCAGTTAGCCAATGTCCTCATACCATATTGGCGAAGAAACATACCTTTTGCGGGCACAGTGTCAGTCTCAAAAGGATATTTGAAGACGTGAGCACTGCCAAAATCGATGATCTTCATGATACCCTTGGAGCTCACTACCACATTATCCAGCTTCAGATCGCGGTGGGCAAGGCCCACGCTATGCAGATAAGTCACGCCATTGAGGATTTGCAGGAAGCAGCACGTTATCTCTTCCCGGGACATCCGACCGGTCATAACGATTGCGAAGAGGTCAAATGGCGCATATTCCATCACTTCATACCAGCGCCCCTTTTCTTGAAGAATGTCCAACGTTTCGATAATATTGCCATGGTGAAGGGTCGATCCAACGCAAAATTCGGCCGTTACTTTCTTGTTGTACTCTTTTTCGGTTTCGTATGTGTGTCTTGCACGGAACTCTTTGACTGCAAATACGGTACCGTCGTCCTTGCGCTTCATCAGTCTCACCGAGCCACCCGCACCGGAGCCCAGAAATTTGCCGAGCTTGCCGTACTTGGAAGACAGCCCATGATCATCTCCAAATGGCAATTGCTGGGTCGATTTGGAAGCTGCAGCTTTCGTGCCGAGCTTGATTGATGGTGCTGGTGACGACTCTCTCTTTTTGCTGTGATGACCGCCCTTGCGGAAAAATCGTTTCAAATCTGCCATTGAGCTGTGTCCGGGGTGAAGGTTGCCAGTCGAGACGCTATCATTCGGTGCAAGTTCTTCACTACTGTTCCTTGCACTACCAAAGATCGACGATCCGCGCTTCTCGTTCAGATTTGACTTAGACCCATGGGGAGAACCATGCTTCTTCTTACGTGAAAAGATGAATCTTGGGTCGATTGTGTGCTTCGTTGTGTGTGCCGCTTGTGCAGGTCGTCGGCCCTTGGCGTAGGGATCGTTGATATCACCGCCAGGGGTAAATGGCTTAGAGTAGAAGTTTGACGCTGAGCTTCGGGACGGACTAGATTCTCTAGAAGCTGGCATGGAACCAGGTCCTACTCCAAACATGCCTCGACGATGGGATTGGTGCTGCTCCTCAGCGGAAGACGCTCTACGGACCGCATGATCGGAAGCAGCTCGAGCAGCTGAAGGTCTTCTGTCGGGAGCTGGTGAAGCCTTTTCATGAGATGACGATGCCTGTGGGGTGATAACCGGGGGTTCATTCGTCTTGGCCACTTCTTTACCCTTCTTATCCGAACTAGCCTGGCCGGATCCCGCGGGAGTTAGGGGAGGGGAAGCCAGCGTAGAGACCTGAGGGCTGGTATGCGGGGATTGGAAGGTGGCAGAGGTAGGTGTGGGCAATCTAGTAGACTGTCCGGATTCATCCTCATGCGATGGGACCTACAATGACATCAGTTAGCGTTAGTCTCAAAACCTTCAATTATGGCAACGCAGTGACATAACGTTGCGAAGCTCAAATACCACAATCAAATTACCGGTAGCAATTAGAGTAGAATTTGGCCGAGAGCATTTTCCAAAAGCTGGTGATGCGTGAATACACAGAAAGGGGTTCATACTCGGGAGGGTGGAAGCGAGAAAGCTTCAAATTGGCAGTTATTCAAGCGCAATTCTTGTAAAGGCCGGCCGTGGAGAGACTTGGTGAAGGCTTTAAGTTGATCGGCAGTAACTTCGGTGAAAGGACTTGACTGGTCGTGCTCTTCATGCTCTGGGTTCGACGATGACGGGTCGACGGTGGCCGGTTGGGTCGGTGATATCTCCTGGACGGCGGATGAGAAGCGAACGCCGGAAGCATCTTCGGATGCATCTTCGGATGCATCTTCCTTATCTCCAATTGACTCTTGAGGTTTTTGAACAGGCTCTGAAGCTTCTATTAAAACCGCAGTTAGCGATTGTACCACAAACATCGTTTCGCAGTGCTTCAGTGCGCCGAGCAGAAGATCGAGGTGGGGCAGAATAGGCTCGGCAGAACCGGAAGATAGACTTACCAGAGGCGCCCTGGGAGCGAGGAAGCTCCTGGGGAGGATTTGAAGAACTCATCGGGTTAGAAAAGGATGCTTTGATGAGGTATGAGCAAAGTAACCAAAAAGCAACCAAGGTAGTAGTATGATGAGGGTGGTAAGAAGAAGCGAGACTGAGCAGACTAAGAGTTGCGACGACGATGATAAAAGAGGACGAGCCATGGGCCCGCACTTGCCTTACTACGTACCTATCTAGTGGGGGGCTCCACTTTGTTTCCTTCTTCACATCTCTCCCACCTTTTGAGGGCAGCCCAATCCGAGTGGTTCCAATATCTTCCCTTTTTGCTGGGCAGGGCTACGGGCAATAGTTAGCGTTTAGGAGGTCCTTTTACGGCAATGCGGGTGCTAGAAACACGCTAGACGTGCGCTAAAAACTGTTTCCTGGCAGCTGGTGATTCCTCAGGTACACTGAAGAGGCTTCAGAAGTTGAGGCTTGCTCGGACATATGCAAATATTTAGGTTGAAGATGAGTCCATGTTGATCGCGAGTCAACGTGTACGCCGTGTTCGTCTGATCACTTTTCCCAACAGAAGCGCCCCCTATCGTCAGCTTTTAACTTATCTTTACTGCTGATAGCTTGACTGAAGTGGCACAGTAAGCAGCGAGTATCATGTACATCGACTTACGAAGCGCTCCCTTGATCTCATGGTCCCGGCGCATCACTAGACAGGGCTCCTTGTCAAGAGAAAAATTCAACACATGAGTATGAATAATGGAAGCAGTCCAATGCCCTCGGACAATTACAATTGCATTGCGTTGGGTTGCAAAACAATTTCCTCGTTGGGTTGGAACCTTCTTGTTACTATGACTCAACTCCTTTTACATTGAGGGTGCCACCAACAGCCATACATCCATAGCATGTGCACTAACGATGCAGAGATCGGGAAGGCGGTTAGTTCTCCGGTGTTGATGTGAAGTTCACTTGATACAAACAGTTCGAGATCCGTGAATATGACCCCCTGTCAAACTCAACGATCTGACCCGATTTAGGCTCTCGCTCAGCTGCGTTTCCTAGTCGACGTAACCAAAGCATATTTACAACCTTGATCGATATAGCGGTGTCTTGAAGGATTACGATTTACATTAGAAGCTGCAACAGGGGTGATATCTAAGGTTACTTGAGCTACTACAAGTGTAAACTCCGTTCTGGTGCCGCGGCTTTTGTGTAAGTGACCCATGTGTCAGTGAGCCTCGACCAAGAAAACGTGTGAGACACAATGTGTGACAATGTCAAGTATCACCTGCTTCTAGAAACATGGAAGACGAGAATTTTTTACCCCTTCAAGTTTTGATACGTAACATAAAGCCAAGTCCAAGCCTAGCCCAGCCCAGCCCAGTCACAGCGGAGCTCCCGGCCAAGTTTCGGTCGCCTCCAAGCCTCTCAGTTGCAAGACCTGCAAGAATCTTTTTATCCCTTCATCAAGAACCAGTCAAGTATAAACAAAATAATCAAACCCACATATTCCAATAGCGAAAATGTTTTCTGTTCCTTGAGCTATTCCGGTGTAAGCAACAAGTCCCGTGTTAAGCTCAATTCTTATTTAGGACCATACGCAAGCGTCATGGCCTTACACGTGTTGTTGTCAAGTTTGCGTATTTCCGGGCTTGCTAAAGTGGTTTCAATGGCAATGGAAGTCGACCCTTTCCATAAATGTGAAGTCAACAGATGGGGCCATAGGGATATCTCGATCTTCAGACTTTTTTATGTGATCACCTGTTACAGTCAGGAACTGGCTCGAGAGGATCTGTCAAATCCGTCGATCTTCCGTTGTGCCCTGAGATCTCGAGCTCTTGTTGTATCAGGATCCTATCAAGTCGTTTCATTTTTGCTGACTCGTCCACCACATTTGCCCAGTATTCAGAGGGTCTGAACTCAGGGCTGTTGAATTAGAGGGCTTGAAATCATTATTCTAAAAGTTTGCTGAATTTGGGATGACACTATCCTAAAATATCCTAAATTCTTCTAATTATCATTTAAGGAGACCCTCCCTCCCTCCAGCTATTTTGCACAGTACAATAGAATACAGAGCATGACATGTATATACATTGCCAAGCATCGATGACACAGCATATGAACCAATGGTTTCAATGATGGTTTGACTCCCATAAAATCATGATCTGAGATACATGTACATGGGATACAGTCATATGTATTCCACATGACTTAGGTTCATTGGCTTCAACGGGATACGAGACTTTATGCAAGCCACGCGTATGGTGGATCAAGAGTCTTTCCTGGATAAGTGCCTACCCACGTACTGATAGAGGCACGTGAGGTCTTGACTACTTGCGAGTTATCAAGGTCGAGATCAACTTCACATGTCTTGCCTCGCGAACTCGGACAACTACCGTCTGTAATCACTCACTTAGCCTCAAGTGCTGAACAACCTCCATGTCCATCTTCTCACACCAATGCCATCGGGAAAAGCCTGACATAAGATCGGCCTGCCCAACACACGCAAGTGTGAAATAATAACCAGTATTTCGCCTTTTGAACGCTGAATAGATGCATCGTACAATTCCTCCTCTAATCAGAGGCCCAACTCCCTGTCCATAAGCTGTTGTACATGTATAATATCTGGTTGGAGATCTTCGTACACGCCACGTTCTGTGGTCTTTCGTTTTCATTTCGTCATCATCCTCTTAAGCCACCACCTCAATTCCCATCGTCTTCGCCTGGTAAATGACCGATCTGCAAAGTCCCTCTAGTGATAGACCAGAAAGTCGGAGCTCAGTCTGCTTGATCTTTGCAATCTCGTAAATGTGCTTAAGGGATAGAGTGCCGACAGTCTCGTGCCCTGGCTTGCTAACACCCTTTCGCTTGCCCTTCTTTCCCATGGGAGCTTCGACGGCATTGAGGAGAAGCCATGACGTGTGCGGTGTTCGGACGTCAAAAGTAAATGATCGATCGGGGCGTACGGTGACTCGGCAAGGCATTGGTGTTCCGGTGATAATATGTGCAGTTCTTGCGTTAAATTCCTGGGCGCAAGTTAGCAAAGGATTGACATCTGAGCTCATATAAAACTGACCTTGCAAAAGTCCATAGACTTCACACCCTTGGAACCGAGAGCAGGACCAACAGGAGGACTAGGACTAGCCTGTCCAGCTCCCACGATCAGCTTCACGATCTGGTCAACGCCGCCTCGACCCTTTGACATGGTTGCTGTTGTGTTGAAATTGGTGGTGTCCCGTTGCGACGTTAATCGTTGATGGTGTTTTGCGAGCTGAAGAAATTCGAGAGCCAATGTCTCTAGCGTCCCGATTGGTCCACAGCCAGTGTCATGATGGATGTCTCCACAATCAGGTCGCCCCACCAGGCTACCTACGGAGTACTAGATTTACCTTTCCATCCAATCCTTCAAAAAAAATCTCGAGCGCATCAATCTTCAACCGTCCTCATCAGAAGACGCTCTCAGGACAACCACAACGGAATGCGCACTTGAGAAACAAATATTGAGCCGCAGCCGATTTTTCATTCTTTTTCACTCAAAGAGACTTAACAATTTTCTCCAGCTTCTCTCGCCAGAAGTGCCCCAACACCTGTCTTCGACCTTTCTCCCCAGAAGAGCTCAACGCCAATCTTGAGCCTCTCTCCCGACAAGAGACTTAGTACATACGGCACGATGCCTTCAACTCACAGTAAGGCCTAATCCAACATGAGTCCCTTATGTTGGTGAAGCAAGAGGCTTACATGAAGCAGAAAAACCGAAGCCTTGGGACACAGATGACATTGACAAATGGAAGGTCGACACCTTCACTCCCAAGGATAATGCTGCCGGCGCATTCCTCGAAGAGAGTTCCTTTGCCACCCTCTTCCCCAAATACCGCGAAGTCTATCTGAAGGAAGCATGGCCTCTGGTTACTCGCGCCCTCGAAAAACACGGAATCGCCTGCACGCTCGATTTGGTTGAAGGTTCTATGACCGTCAAAACGACTCGTCGAACGTATGATCCCGCCGCCATTCTCAACGCACGCGACCTCATCAAGCTCCTGGCTCGCTCCGTCCCCGCCCCTCAAGCTATCAAGATCCTCGAAGATGGTGTTGCCTGTGATGTGATCAAGATACGCAACTTGGTCGGAAGCAAGGAAAGATTTATTAAGAGGCGACAAAGAATCCTTGGACCCAACGGTTCAACACTCAAAGCGCTCGAATTGCTCACAGAAACATACATTCTGGTCCACGGAAACACAGTTTCCGTTATGGGGCCCTACAAGGGCCTGAAAGAGATTCGACGTATCGTGGAAGACTGCATGGCAAACATCCATCCAGTCTATGGAATCAAAGTGAGAAATTGTCTCCATGAGAAGAAATCAGACAGCTAACCCATCGGCAGGAACTGATGATCAAAAAAGAGCTTGCAAAGGATCCCGAGCTCGCCAACGAGAGCTGGGATCGTTTCCTTCCCAACTTCAAAAAGAGGACTCTCAGCCACCGGCGTGTTCCCCACAAGGTCACGGACAAGGCCAAGAAGACATACACACCATTCCCTCCAGCTCCCGAAAAGAGCAAGGTGGATAAGCAAATCGAGACTGGCGAGTATTTCTTGGCCAAGGGCGACAAGAAGCGTGCTTTACACGAGGAGCGCAAGGAGAATCAGAGCAAGCGAAAGGAGGAGAAGGCAAAGGAGCGAGAGGCCGAGTTTGTCCCACCGCAAGAGGGACGTCCCAAGAAGAAGCGCAAGAAGACGGAAGAGTAAACAGGGAGAGCATCGTATTTCGTGGATGGGCAACTGGTGTGAGTTGTTTCAATCTCATGTACAAGCTCTCAAGTTGTATGATACCCTGAAAATCTCGGCGTTCTTCATGTCTCTATTTAAGGATTAATAGCTAAAAAGAAATGTGCTTTCAATTTCTGTGTCTAAATTCGTGAAAAGGCGTTGTATTTGCCCTGTTGATTATGATATCTAGAGTTTGGAGGGCGAATCGCTTCCTGAATCCCACTCGATTACCAGCTTACCAAACTGCTTCCCCTGATCCATGTCTTTAAACAGGTCATCGATTCCTGGAAGGTTATCCAGCCCCTTGATCGTTCTGCTGATGACAGGTCGAATCTTCTTCTCATTCACAAAGGCAACCATATCCTGGAACTCCTTGCGGGAACCCATCGTTGAACCCTTGAGCTCGATATTCTGCAGATTCGCGGCCATCAGCCAGTCCATCTTGGGAGACACTGTCATGCCGTACTGCACAATTACACCGCCAGCCTTGAGTAGTCGCACAGTCTTGGCCACGATCTCACCGCCTGCACCGTCGATTACAGCATCGAGATACGGTCTGTTGGCTGGTAGCTGTGCTCGAAGCTCCTTGTCCCAGGACTCGTTCTTGTAGATAACTCCACCTTTTGCGCCCATCTCTTTGGCCTTTGAAATCTTGGCTTGATCGCCGGATGTAACGAATACGTTGCAGCCCATTGCTACGCCGAACTGGAGGACCTGGAGCGCAACACCGCCGCCAATGCCTGTGATAAGAATGTTTGAGCCAGGGAAAGCAGCGTTGCTCTTTGTCACAAGCGCACGCCAGCCTGTGACACCAACAAGAGGCAGAGCTGCTCCCTCAGCGGGTGTAAGGTGTTCAGGCGCAGGCTCAACTTCCTCCTCTGACACTACAATATAGTCCTGAGCAGTACCGACCTCGGTGAGTTTAGAACCACCTGTGACTGCAAACTTGCGGCTATCTTCTGGTGCAGCAGGGTCTGATTCCCAACCGCGCATGGGAGTGAGGATGACTGGCTTGTTGAGGAGGTTCTTACGAGTGACATTGCTTCCTAGAGCGACCACAGTGCCGTAGCCATCTGCTAGAATTGGGTTGGTGAAGGAAATGGCTGGGTAAAGATGACGGCGCATGAAGAGATCACGGTGGTTAAGTGCCGCCGCAGAGAGGTTCACAAGGACCTCATTGGGGCCTGGAGTTGGCTTTGGAACTTGCTTTACTTGAAGTCTGTATTTCATATTAGCAATTGGCTCTTGACATGTGGAGGAAGTATTTCTAACGGATAATAGACCTTTCCAGGCTTTGCGCCTTCGATCTGCTGTAGGGTGAGAACTCGAGGCATGATTGTGGCTGTGATGTGACCGATTGTTGTTGGTAGAGTATTTCTGGTAGATATATAGTCCCTTCGGTAATAGCGGCTCAGAAAAGGTTCGATTTCGGCTATTGGGCGCAGTCTTGTTGAAGCTTGCAAGTTGGAACGACATAGATATCTCATGGCCATTGGCCCCGCATCCCAGACCTCGGCATTAAGATGCACCTAAAGCAGCAACTATATACGGCCGATCTGGATGGTACAAGAGCTTTGACGTCAAAATCGGGGATTTGATTAATAATGTTAAACTGGGCTAGTGTTTCTTCCCGAGGATGGTGTATTCAAGTACGGAGTATCTTCTTATCAAAGCTATCCTTGGTGACGTCGTGTGAAGGACTGAACATGGAGGTACGCATTGATAGAGAGACAACGTTATAGACAAGTTTCCCGCTCGTTGAGAATGCTATTGACCTAAAACGGCTTGCCCCTTTATCAATCACAGATCAAAAAATGACAACATGGGGTTGACTTGTCGGAAGAGAAATACAGCAATTATTCGCTGGCGAGGAATAATATACCCTATACGTCTATATATCTGGAATATGTCCTACACTGTATATTCTGTCAAACTTTGCAAATATATCCAATGGCGTATATATAGGATTTCAGTTAGGGGCTTCGCTCAGTTTGTGAGTAATGATAGTCTCGTATATGGTCATTCACAACTTACTTTGTTTCATATAAGACTATCTGGTTTGTATGGTGTCAACCTCACTAATACTGGCGCTAACATCGGAATATTTATGTCTTGATCCAGTTCCTGAAATGACAGCAATTGAACATTATTATAATAACTATACTCACAAGTCTCACGTGAAACCAGAAGATTATTTTATAATAAGAATATAAACGAAGTTTGTTGGTTTGAAGTGTTGCATCACTGCACGCACTACGCAACCTCCTATAGATGCTTACCAACGCTCCGAAAATCGGCATCATAGTTATATCAAACTACTAACAAATATCTACACCAAAGTTTGAACCATCAGCTAATCTTCACTGGAATTTTCAAATGGCCGCATTATTCTCAGGCGCCGTCTATGGCGCCTCTACGATAGCCGCTGGCGTCTATTTGCCCTCAACAATCATCAATCAGTTCAAGTTCCAGGATTGGCATATGCTGCAAACCTCTCTCGGGGCTGTTGCAAGCAGCGCGTGAGTAGTCACCCTCTACACGAATACAAGAAGAAGCTAACATTTGATCAGTATCATATACAAAGTCGCTGAAAGATACGGCTACGTTAAGCTCAAGCCCAGAAGTTCATCACCGATTGGTCTCTTTGGACAGTATGACGGCAACGTCATAGGCGGATTCCTCCTTGGAGCTGGCATGGCTCTTTCAGGATCCTGTCCAGGTACTCTGTTCGCACAAGTCGGAGCTGGTCTGAGGACTGGCTTTTATACTCTCGGAGGTGCTATTCTTGGAGGTCTCGCCTATACAGGTTATGTCGCGCAAGCAGCCAAGACTCAGAGGGAGAAGGCGGGTGTACAGCCCGAGACAGTAACTCTTGATGAGAACCTTGGGCTTTCCAACGATACAACGGTTGCTCTCTTCGAATCTGTCTGCTTATCTATCATCGGTGCTTCTGTTGCCTACACTACTGGCTCCGACTGGTCACTTTACTCAGCTGGTGGTGGTCTCTTCATCGGTCTCTCGCAACTCTTTTCAATTCTCGTCCGTCGCTCTATGATTGGCATATCAGGCTCATATGAAGAAGTCGGAAACCATTTCTGGTGGCTCACAAGAGATGCCCCGTGGCCAACAAGTCGACAGAACACCTTATTCGCCGTGGGCATGACAAGTGGTGCTTGGGTTCTTGCAAAGGTACTCCCTTCATTCGTCAAGGGCCATATCGTCGAGACAGAGCCATTGCTTGCTGGAGTTGGTGGGTTTTTGATGATTGTAGGATCGAGGTTAGCAGGAGGATGTCCGTCTGGACATGGCGTTAGTGGTTTATCGTTGATGTCAACATCAAGTCTTGTCACCATGAGCACTGCGTTTGCTGCTGGAAGCTTGGTTGCTCCATTGTTTCATTAGACTGAGTTGGATACAAAAGATTCATGGCTACTATGTGAAATATGACCTTGAATATCTATTCGTGACTCTGGAGATTCAGAAGTACCGGAGTAGACCATCTAATCCTTCTTAATCCCACAGCCAATTCTCGCGGTAACTTCAATCTCAATCTTCATCTCCTCCTTCATCAATGAGGACTGGATCATGGTTGCAGCAGGACGAACATCGCCAAACCACTTCTTCAACACTGGCCAGGTCTTCGGAAAGTCATCGCGGTCAGGGAGGATATAGTGAACACGAACGACATCGGAGACCGAAGCACCAGCATCCTTCAATGCGGCAGCAATGTTGGTCATGGTCTGGTCGGCCTGCTCGGCAACATCTGACGAAAGCTCCCCAGTCTTGTAATCATAACTGTAGCACTTAGATATTTTCGAGTTCTAAGTGAGAGCGGACTTGCTTACCCAGTGGTACCGCTGACAAAAACCCAATCGCCAGTCACGACAGCTCGTGAATATCCGATGAGCTCTTCAAAGGCAGAGCCAGAGCTGATGTTCTGACGGGAAGTCATTGCAATTGAATTGAGTATTAATGATGAAAAGATGATATAAAAGGCACGATGGAGAGAAATCAAAAGTGTAGGTTTGAGGGAAGATATAGTAGGTGTCGTGAGTCACTTACACCAAGCTATTCCTATTGTTTGCCGGGTGGGGTCGCTTGACCAATTCGAGGAGGCTGAAGCTCATGTATTCGCGCGCAAGAGGTAGGTATTTCATTGATTTCATGACAATCGTAATGCCAGTCCACACTATAGTATACATATTTTACACCATGCATTTATATATGCATCCAACACTTTAGCCAGTGAGTTCCTTGACCATCTTGGCCAACTCCTTTCTGTCGACGTCCTTGCCCTCGAGAGCACCGGACAATCGCTTCATGACGTCGCCCAAGATGGACTTGGCTTGAGTGCCAGCAGCCTTTGAAGCCTCAACAGCATCCTGCACCATAGCCTTGAGCTGAGCCTCTGTCAAGCTCTCAACTCCGCTGTTGGCAAGGTACTCATCCAAGACCTTGATCTGATCCTCCTCCTTTTGAACAAGATCCTCACGGTTGGCAGCCTTGGCCTCAGCGACAGCATCTTGAGAGCTCTTTTGGATCTTGCGGATCAAAGCAACGAGCTGGACATCTGTTTTGATCGGAGTTGAGGTCTTGGAAGCGTTGAGGTTGGCGGATATGATAGCTCGGAGAACGGTCAGGCGAGGAGTATCCTTGGCACGCATGGCCGTCTTAAGATCGCCCTTGAGCTTGGACAGAAGGGGAGGAGGTGCATCTTCGGTAGATGTTGAGTAGAATCGGCAGACAGAGACTCGGCTGATGGGCTGACGAAGCGTGGGTTGCGACATGCGCAGAGCCCGGAACAGCTGCATCGATTGTTTGGCCGGCATTGTGAAGGGATCGGTATTATCGGTGTAGAGACTGTTTGGTGACTCGATATGACGATCGCGGCTCGTGGTTTGGTGTTGCTACCGTAAAGCTTAAGCTGATGTTGAACGACAGGTCAAAATTTCCCAAGCATGCAATTGGCAACTTTGATTGGCGGTGTGACGAGCTCCAGCAATTCTTAGTGGAGGCCCAGTGAAGGAACAGCAGCCCAAGCTACCAGGGTCCCCAGACTGCCAACCTTCGCGTACGAATCTGGGGGCTGCACGACCAGGCTGTCGGAGATGTTATGATGGGATGACAGTTGAGAGCCATCTCGGCAGGCTTTGTAGAAAAATTGCTTCTGCGAGGCTTGTTGATTTCTCAAAGTGATCGGCAGCAGAGCTGCTAGCTGGCCACTGATCATAGACCTCCACTTTGAGATGGAGGTGCATTATCTCAAACACAAAGGGACCAGGCATGATATCATTTCAGTGACGAATACTCCGTAGTCACCCCCCCAGTATCAACACCATAATATTGTTCTCTCTCTTCTCTTCTCAATCGACATCGTCCAACATGATCTCGGCAACGCTAAATCACCTGATCATTGGTGCACCCGCTCGCCTACTGCCTTAGCAAGGATCGGGGATGATCCCGTTGATATTGCATTCCGCTAGGTGCTGTAGGAGCGCACTAGCTTCACCGGCCAAGGAACAGACCAGGAGGCGGCTCGAACGTTGTGTGTCGTAGATGCAGATCGACTATTCTGTTTCGAAACATTTCAGCTGTCTTTGGGTTCGAGAGGCGGTCGAAATTCAGGTGACGGACGGTAAGGTCAGGGTTATGGTTCCATTGCTAACCCTTCTGTTCCCTGAAACTGGAACGAGATCTCATTCTCGGGTCGCGTCGTTGGTGGAGATGAGGAGATGAACTCATGGGTAGTTGGGCCCAAGACAATGAACCAGGGTTGCTTGTATAGAAGGGGAATGGTGATTTTATAGATACTGGACTAGATTATCATATCAATCTTGTCATTGAGCAGGTAGTATGACTTGTGAGATGTCACCAACATGTCTCTTCCACACACCATTTCTCCTTAGTCGTCCCCCTATGTCATGCTCATCTTGATATTGCGAGGTCTCGGACCTGTTGCGGCCGCTGGTAATAACTCTCTTACACATCGGGCCCAAACTGTCGGTACCGAGTGTCCATCCACCAGTCATTACGAATCATTCCCTGGAAGTCATAACAAGGGACGAGCAGCCACTTCATGGGTGTTGGTAGCGGTTCTCTTTCTCTCTCTCTCTTGTTCTTTCCTTTCTTGCCTTAAGTCCGAGCACCTGCACGTCACTTCTCTTTCCATCCATTGTTGCTTCATTCTTGCCCAGTCAAAGCTAGCCATGCTTGCCATGTTCGGCAACGAATCTCAAGATTTTCCTCCAACCTTCCTCTATTATCCACTTGATGGCGCGCCACTGCCGCTTCCCTGTCCAGCCAACAAAACCTTGTTTCAACTACAAGGTCGAGTAATGGCATCTTGTGCCATCTCCCCTTTACACATACCATTTACTATCCTTCCATCCCATCGTGGGCCCTCAAACGCAGCACAAATGCCTTTGGGACGCCGTAAAACTTGACTATCATAATCCTCCGCCGCACAATAACTCGCGATTGACCATGGAATGCGCCCCAATGGCTCGAATTGAGACTTCATGGCTATTACCGTCGTGGCTTTCTACCAATGCAAACATAACTGCGATGCCATCCGTCAGAATAACAAAGACCTTGGGATAGCCGAGAGAAACTTACACTGGAAAGTAGGCCTACAAGTCGTTAAAAATCGAATCATAACAGGATTCGCCCCCTTTTGAGTCGAGAACCAAGAAAACATACCTTGAATGCTGGGTTGCTGGCTTCGCTCCTCGCTTGAGCTATCAAGAGTTGGAAATCACTAAAAGTCATCCTGTACAAGGCTCAGCCACACGTTACTCGGGCAGATTGCAAACGACATACCCAAGAAACTGCGTAAACGGGTATAATGCTAGCGAATACAATAGCTCGTTCACGTTATCGGTATTGGATCGGCCTATATCATAATCTCGGGGGACTGCACCACCATCAGCCTCAACACGTACACTCTGGCATCAAAGCAACCCACCACTCGACCAGCCGCACATTGGCAACGTCAAGAGTCTCGACTCGACTTCCGTGAACCCTGCACTTCTCATCCAGCTGGCCAATTGAAGTGGTGCCCGCGGATCTTTGTATGGCTGCTGACTTTCCAAGTATTGTCTGGACCATTGCGACAGGGCGTGGTCTACTCGGCAAGATTGTAAAAATACAGAAGTTTCCATGTTCAGGAGACTGGGGATATTACCTCTACTTAGCGTACCATTGTCAGATTGGGCGTTGAAGTATATCTCGACCATCTGACACCACCCGCCTGGCTTCAATACACGGAAAATGTCTCGAATATAGCTTCGCCAGCGATTCGCATGGATGCCCCCGGCGACCATTTGGCTATGGACAACGTCAAAGTGGTTGGATCGAAACGTAAACCTATCCCGAGCCCAGGTTAGATTCGATCACAAGACTTTCTTGTGGCTACTCACCTCCCGTTAAGGTCGTCAACCTGGAGCTCCATATTGTCGGGAGGGTTTTCTGGTATCATGTGCGGGCTGACATCGATGCCAAGGACCTGTGCAAAAGACTTAGCCACAAAATATCTCATCCCAGATCCTTATCTTGAGGGTTTAGGAATCGAGTCAGTCGGGCCCCGTTGATCATGGTTATATCCAAAAACACCCCCCAAGATTTGAGGATGGGGCCACGAGAGCATATAAAATCAAGACAGCTCAAGCTCCATAATGGAACACGGTGCATCGAATTCGCCTGACTCGGATGGCCTACAAGCATTGCCCCTTGAAGGGAAGACTTCCAATGGTGTAGGGGGGACTCACTTCGGCGTCAGGATATTGTGTGGCAACTTCGATGGCCCAATCTCCTGGACCACAACCGCAATCGAGTATTCGTCGTGGCGACCTGATAGGGGGGAATATGAGCCTCCCATCAAAGAGCCTGCTGAGAACTCCGTGCATCACCTCGAGGCGCGAGATTTCGTCCTAGTTCAGTGACTTTTGTTACCTTCTGTCAACCACTTCGATACTGGATAGAGATCACCAACTTACCTCATCGATGGGTGCAAAATATGTCCCATTAGTGAGGGAGTAATGTTGATAAGAGCGCCCATAGTGCTCGATTGTCTCGGTGAACGTCTCGTCCAAGGGCACGGTTCCATCCCTTTGCATGGGGGCTTAGCGAAACTTCCATATCAAGAAACTTTGGTAGTCTTACTCTGCATCCATTTTCTTTATGGTCGAATTTTTGGACACGAAATGCCTCTCAATACTACAAGTATGATGCAAGCTTGCTCGGACGACAATAGCCAGGACAAGCAGAGCTGCCTTTTCCAAAAAGGATTTAAACAATTCCTAGGGAAGACATGTGGTACCCAAAAGCGCGACCCTAGCCTAACGTTTAAGAGCCACCCTGGTGCTAGGATGCAGAGTGCAAAGACGTAACATGACTATGGTGGCTTTTGCATCTAGCGGCCTTGCGTACCATTCAAACGCGCAACAGGGCTTCTCGAAGAATGCGGAGATGATCTAGCAGAGAGCCGAGACACGGGCCGGCAAAGGACTGCTTCCTAAAGGTCCAATGCCGATCTTGACACCCCAGAGCTCTGTCGTTCAACTCATATTGGCCCTGGTACGGAAGAATAACAGCGAACATATCACCAGGGGCTATTTCACAACCGCAGTATCCTATGGAATCTGGCAAGATGACGCTGAGATTCAGGCAAGACATCGATACCTTGGTATAGGTTAGAGGCTGGCTCTTTTGGCTATTGATGAATGCTAAACAGGGAGCTCGAAAGATTCTGAACTTGAGATTCACAAATTCTTGACACTCTCACTAACACGTTGGACACCAAAGTAGCCATCGACGGGCCAAATGGAAATCATTAGTTTGGATGCCCTTGATTGCCTCATTAGCAACCATTTCCCATCCATGGCCCCATGCTTCGGTCGACGAGACAGGTTCCACTCGAAGTGGAGAGATTGGTTTTGCGGCATGTTATTAGACATGATTGCAGTCGACTCTGCTCCGTACAGGTGCAGCGTCTGGCGGAGGGTCTCATTCTCGCCTTACCCCGTCAGAACCAACCAATGCATCCATTTTGTGTTGGATGGAATCCTTCCCACCATCACGCTCAGGCACCCGGTTGTCGGGACTTGTGCAGACTCCGTGGATGGCTTGAGACTATGTGCCTGCCATGAAAGGTGGCGCCCAATGACTACGAACCGTTTGACGTCGATAGTGAGGCTGTCCTACCCCAACGTCGGTAGTGATCATCAGCTAGACAAAGAGGATACGCGGTTTGTCACATGTGTAACAGCGTTTTTGGTGAACAAAGTAAGATCATGGTTTCACAATGAAAGCTCCCTGGGGCAAGTCCAATGACAATCCATGTCAATACCGATGGCATGGACCTGGGACAGCCTTCGGGATACGGGTCACCAAAATTGCTGTCCTCTTATACAACTTGGTATCTTCGGAGCTCGCATACGACTATGGTGGCCGATAATACTTGTTTGACTGGGGGATTCGTTGATTATATGTATTAGCGAGTCAGGCGAATCGCCCTCACTATCAGGCCCTGGCACCTTCTTGCCAACGAGAATATGGTTGCGCCAGGATTGCGACGCAGGCGACTAAGGAGCCCCGTCAGAGCACTTCCCTATCACCAAAAGGCACCCTTTCCCTCGATGGGTCTCAACGATACTGGCCATGATCCACCCCAACAGCGCCGGGATCTTTTAAAGCCAAACAGCGATATCTCTCAGACCTCTTCACCTCTTCACCGCCTCGTATATACAGCAGTGGTTTATGCAAAGCCTGTGTTCAGAAGATTCCTAGTGGCAGAGGTGTGTAAAAGGGAGGTCTCATGGCCGCATATATG